CCTAACTTCTTCTCTCTACCCACCACCTGTTCTATTTATATCTACCTTAATGTCTCATTATAATAATACCTTATAAAAAATCTTACTAGGCGCGGGCGCCGCGACATCCTATAGTCTAGGCGCGGGCGCCGCGACATCCTAGGGGCGTGGGACATGCTAAGGGGCGCGGAATTTGAAATATAAAAAATTAAGATCAAAATGACCTTGTCAAATATTCATGAAAACGTGTGTTTTAGGGGGGTTCTGAAGAACAATGCTACATATCTATAGTAATAGTAGGTGACAACTGTGAAATTTTGTAATTGGGTACGGAAGGTGCCCGTGTAAAAAAGAAAGGCAATAAGTGGCCAATCATTGTTTGTGATCAATATTTTGATTGCTTTATTCGTACATGTAGTGCTGATTGAAAGAAGAATCTCACAGTGACCTTAGGATAAAAGATGTTCATTTTTTATATAAGCCCCTGCCTCAGACAAGGTAATTTTTCACGGTTGAAAAGACATGAATATAAGTTGAGATATATGTGAAAATCAGCTTGTCTGAGGGTTGGGCTTGATATGTACTCAAACTAAATAGGGGCATTTTCAGTCCATATGCCAGCAGTTGGTCATGTTTATTCCTGCCATGAGGTAGCTGCTACATGCTTACAAAGGATGGCTAGGTAGATACATTGAATCTTTTGTACAAAAAGAACAACCCCCCACCCCCCAAAAAAAAAAAAAAAAAATTAGGCCTTTGAAAGGAAAATAGGGGTTAGAGTCAGTAAAATATTTTCAATTGCAACCAAAATAAGAAAAGTCATTTTCATGTAATGCATGCTATCAAAAAAAAAAAAAAAAAAAAAAAGAAAAATGGATAGGAAATAGAGTCCAAATACAGTAAGGATATCTTATTTCCATTCTTCTTTTTTAGGATTAAGAAAGATTAAATGGAAAATGTGCTTCAGATATCCAAAGTTATATTAATTATCATAATAGCAGATGTACATTGTGGTACATGGCTCCTACTTTATATAGAGACCCATGCTGTAATAGACCTCTACACATAAGGGTGGCTTGACCCAACCCCTCTAATGGGCATGAAAGTATATTTTGTACAACCAAAATTGTTGTGTAAATATCCCCTTTTACGTCTATTTTGCATAAAAAGTAAAATAAAAGGCTCCATCACTCACACCCTAGTTTTGTTACTTATGACCTAATCTTCTACACCAGCACTACTCATAATAGCTTTGTAGAGTTTTTTTTTCTTTTATTTATTAGTCCGGTGGCTTAAGGAAAAAATCGTGACACGGCGGATAAAAGCACCAAATTTTGCATGTGGGTACCTTTTAACATTCTAAATCAAATTAGAGCCGTAGCCCACGGAAAAAATTTTCCGTTTGGCCAAAAAATCCAAAATGGCCGCCAATTTATTGAATTCTTTAGAAATATGTACATACCTGTTGATTTTTATCAAATAAATTATTTTCTCAGAGTTTTCCACACCCTTATTACCCATTTTATTCATATATGTCAGATAGCAAACAAGTCCCCTTGGACTTTTTGAAAAAAATCCAAGATGGCTGTCATTTGCCATAGAAACAGCCATATGAATACTAGTGCACAACTATTACCAGCTAGAACGATAGGTTGTCCACTATCAAATTAAGTCTGTTTCTCAGATCTTTGTTACTCACATAATATTTTTGTGGTGAGTAACTACGAAGTGTTCTTGGGCATTTTGGAAAATCCAAGATGGCTGCCATGTGCCACAGGAATTCTAGTATATGGGGGATTCAACTAATGGCAACTGGAAAGATTAGTTTTTCACTATCAAATTAAGCTGGTTTCTGAGTGTTTTCCACATCCTTTCTACCCACACAATATGTATGTGGTGAGTAACTAACAGTATTCTTGGGCATTTTGGGAAAATCCAAGATGGCCGTCATATGTAATAGGAATACTTCTAGTATTACAAAGGGTTGGAACTAATGCCAGCTAATTCAATATCAAATTCAGTTTATTTTTTAGTGTTTTACACATTATTATTACACTGTGATGCATATCTAGCAGGTAATAAATGTGCATATTTGATCATTTTGAGACAACCCAAGATGGCCGTCACTGCCCATAGGAATACTACTGGAATTACAACTGCACTTCCATGGCTTTTCATCTACAACCAGGGTGAATTTGTGTTTGCTTATCAAGTTTTGCCCATCCTTATTAGTCCTATGATATATATCTGGTGGGTAAATAGTGTGCATCCTTGGATATTCTGAGAAAAAGATACCTACAATTTAACATAGGAATACTAATGGGTGGGTTTTAATTGCTGCTAGAGAGACATATGGTTCATTATACAATTACATTTCCATGGGTTTGTTTTAAAAATAATTTATGTTTTTCATTCCATTTATTATTACTCCTATGATGTATACCTGGTCTGTAGCATGTGTGTATCTTTGGGTATTCTGAAAAAATTCAAGACGTCTGCCTTTTGTCATTAGAATATTCGAACACATAATCAAATAATGCTAGAGATACACTGAGTGCGATTTAAATGTAGTTAACTTTGGGTCGTTTTTAAATGTTCTTCATATCCTATTTATCCTTATGAAAGACTCTATGTGTTTTGAAAGTGTATGCATCCTTGAGTATTATTCGGCGAAAACCCAAGATAGCTGCCAGTTGTCATAGGAATATATCATTCAAATGCACATAGGTGTCAATTAATAGAACAGTTCAGACATTGATTCCAACATGAAATAAAGCCTTTGATGTTTAAACATGTTGACATCCTTATTAACCTTACTCTTTATAAATCTGGTGTGTAGCAAGTGTGCATCTTGCGTATTTGAGAAAATTCAAGATTGCTGCAATTCAGTCAACTACTGCCAGAGAGACATTGGGTTCAATATAAAATGAATTTTGTTTCTCGGTATTTCCCACATTCTTTTTTGGACTTTTAGATATCTATCTGGTGGGTAACAAGTGTATACCCTTAAGTATTTTGAAAAAATATCATGATTACCCTCATTTGCCGTAGAAGTGCCTATAAAATCTAATGCACCAGTTTTCCTATGGGGAAAAGAAGGCTATCTTGGATTTCCCCAAAATGATAAAATATGGACATAAGTTACCTAACAGATATGTATCATGGGATAACAATACTAAAAAAAAACAGAAAAACAACTGAATTCAGCTTCATTTTTTTTGTAAGCCTATCTCTCGCAGGTATTAACTGAACCCCACCTTCTATGGCTAATGGCAGCCATTTTGTTTTGTTTAGTTTTCAAAAGGATACACAACATTCTCATCACATATGTATTATGTGAATTAAAAAGATGTGGAAAATACTCAGAAACAAACCTAATTTATCAATTAATATTATATCTCCATGGCAGAAGAAGCCCTATGTGTATACTAGTATTCCTTTGATATTGGGGCCATCTTGGATTTTTCTCGAATTGCCTGTGAATAAAGGTTAGTTACTCACCACAAATATATTATTTGTGTAATAAGAAACAAAATTAATTAGATAGTGGGCAATGCATCTTCCTAGTTGACACTAGTTAGTTGCAAACCCTTGTACATGTTCCAGTATTCCTATGCCATACGGCGGCCATCTTTTTCAATAAGTCCAAGGACACTAGTTTGTTATCTGACACTTATGCATAATATGGGTAATAAGGATGTAGAAAACATTGAGAAAATACTTAATTTGGTAAAAATCAACATAGATATGTATGTATTTCTACAAAATTTCAAAAATTGGTGGCCATTTTGGATTTTTTAGCCAAACGGTAATTTTTTTCCGTGGGCTACGGCTCTAATTTGATTTAGTATGTCAAAAGGTACCCACATGCAAAATTTGGTGCTTTTATCCGCTGTGTCACGATTTGGCAATTTTTTTGCCCTAAGCAACCGGACTATTATCACCAAATGCTATGAATGGCTTTATTTTTCAAGGAGATCAGTGAAAACCTATTGACTTGGTAAATAGTCCAAACAAGAGACCAACAGCCTATAATAATTACCAGAAGTTTACCAGATAAAGCAAGCTAGCCAATATACTGATGAGCATCTGCTAGATGGCTAGTTTGAAATCAGTGTATGCAAGGATGCACCTGATTTAATCAGAGCCAAAATAGTTAATTAAGGCACACATCTAGCCACCAGTACACATTATGGATTCAGACCTCCCATAGCAAAACTAGACCCATCAGTGGCTGGTACTGCCAGTGTAAAGCAGGTTCCAAGACAGTTGGAAGTTGTGCACATATCACTTCAGTCCTGTGGTATATGGGGTTTGCCATGAGGCAGGGATACAATCAAAAATTATGTTGTGGAGAAGGCTGTTTGGATGCCTTGCATTTACCAACATCAAGTGGTAACAGTATTAGCGAGACAGAGAGTGTTTTGGACAGCACATCTGATTAATTGTCTATTGTTTCTTATACATTTTCTATTCTAATATTTGTATATTTTGTATAAATTACTCTTGCATTGCATTGTATACAAGGTCTTTACCACATACATAATCATATATGAAGTACTTTTTAGGTGATTTTTAGATTATTGGCCATAACTGTTATTATGTGTACTATATTTTCATTCAGTTTTTACTTTTATCTTATCATTATTTTGGTACAATTTATACCTTGTTTATTTTATGATTAATGGAAACATTCCAAATAGCTGTTTAGGGTGCTTTTACACATGATTTTTTGTTGTTACTATAACAGCCTTTTGCTTTTAGCATTTTTTACTATTCCTTAGAGCCTTTTACAAAATGTGTATTGGTTAACAATACAATTATTTAGACCAACAAATGCTGGTCTGTGAGAAAAGTTATATAAAATTAATAAATACACTGAAACAAGTTTTCCTAGTTACAAGACTATTATATAGTTAAGTGAAATCAGTGATGGCTTCTGCGAGAAAATACCATAATACACCACCCCTCCCTCTCTTCTCTAGGATTAAAAAAAAAAAAAACAATTACTTTCCCATTTACTTGTGCCACACCACAAGTATTTAACATATAACTCTTTTTTACACACCAAGACAAGTTTCATTAGGAAAAATCATGTATGTAATATATATGCTGAAACAAGTTGCTCTGATTCATTAGACTGCATACAACAGGTAAATCTGGCTACCCCCCCCACACATATAACTCATTAAAAATACTAAGTTACGATGCCTCAAACCAAATAATATTTTTTCACCCAACAAATGTATGCATAAACTTTATAATATAAAATTATTTTAAAAATTTGACGATGGGCACTTTGCCAATGGTTATCAGCACTCGTCCTTACTCTTGATTACAATTAAAGTCTTAAATATAGTTGATTTAGAGACTCAAAAGTCCTTGAATTTGTTCTCTGACAAAATTATCATTGTTTATTCAATTAGGGAACGCGGCTCGTAAAATGTTCAAATAAAAAAAAATCGACATAATTATTGCTTGCCTTTATTTAAAACAAAACCAGACTGAAATTCATGATGAGAACCTAAGTAAACGTAAACTATACAGCATAGCTGGCAAATATACAGACACCAAACAGCCAAAAAACATTTGAAAAGTATTTACAAAAAAAAATCATAATTTTTGTAAAAATAATCTGCTCCTTCTGATTTGCACAAGGAAGCCTTTTCTTTAAATTAAATCAAGTTACTGGGTTAATTTTAAGTTAAACAGAAATACATTTTGGCAGATTTGAGACGGCGACAGCAACAGTGAAAAAAGACCAGCGTACAGTACCAAGAACATATACAACACATGCAATGTCTGTATATAAAAATCAAAATTTAATATAAATTTATTTAAATAAATTTAACTGTTTTTTGACTTTCTCATGATTCTATTAACCTTATACTTGTAGACTTGTAGAGGTCAATTTTATCAATAATTAGTTAAAGCTTAAATGTGGAAGAACAGTATAACCACAAACTCTAAATTTTCACAGAAATTTAAAAACCAGTGATACTGCAATTTCAAAAAGTATAAGTTTGACAAAAACATTGAGAGATGCAATTCAACTAACTGAGAATACTCATAACATGGAATGAGTGTGGATTCTTTAACTTGACACAATTATGGTACAACCCTGTATGTTATATGTGCACATATTCTGAAGTAGATTTTCTACAAAGAAACACTGAGTGAAGGTGTCATTTGGGAATTCCTTTGACAGTTGACTTTCAAATAAAATTTTAAAATAAAAAGGGGCTACAATAGGGGGAACCAATAAATCAATAAATTCACTAAATGCCTTATTACCGTACTAGCCAGGCAGACTGTGTACAACCAGATAAAAGACATTGTGATATCTGGTTTTTCAAAGAAAAAGAGATCCAATTTTGTCAAGTCCCTACCCAAAGAGCATAAAGTACATGTGTTCAATCTAGCTGTTTAGTTTTCAGGAAATAAACCTTCAGAGTATAGTCCTAAAATGTAAATGGTATTCAACACAATACGAGAGATGGTCACCAAGAGACTCTCTCTCTTTCTCTCTCTCTCTATATATATACATACATTTTTTTTCAGTAAACTTTTAAGTCTAGGAAAGTTCATTCTAAAGCAACCCTTTGTCAGCTTATTGCTATGAAAGTTAAGGTACCAAGTGTTATAATTACCCATGCTTCATCATACCCATTTCCGAAAAAAAAAAAAAAATGTCTGCAAGCATTTTTAACCATTCTTGTGTAAAATATACCACATACCATGACTTCTAACATACACATAAACACATGCACTACTGAGATCTGTCCACATTATCCATACACAACTACTGTATTCACCAGATGCCCATTTTATGTACATTATCCTATAAATATATACAAATCAGTATAACAAAAATTACAATAAAAATGGGTAAGATTTCACACCGGCCAACCGCTTTCCATTTTATATGGCACTATGCCTTAGGAACTCCTTTATTCCTATCTCACATAAATTTTAGTCTTTTTTTATAATAAAAATACTCAGCTGGAGAGTCTTAGTTTACAAAATGTTCCTAGATAAAGAAAAAGATAAATGCCACAACATATAAACCTGCTTTGCTGCACCACAGCTAAAACAGGCCCTATAAATGGAATAGGCGTTATCTAACACTACCCGCAGATCTTTTGGCACTTACACCCATACTAACCACAAAACCCACAAATAGTAAAAGCCTAATCCATTTATAAGGTCTCTAAAAATGCTAGCTATCTGCATTGCCATCAAAAGCTACCAGAGACCCGTTTTGCAACATAACTTGAAAGACAAAGTTAATCTTAACTTGGAGACAAAAAATTTTTGCTTCATTTCAGAATATATCCACAGGAGTCCATTGGTGTCAAATTGCTATCTGTCTTAGACCCCGTTCAAATTCCTAGATCAATCAAGCAGACTCAACCCATCTCTGAGGGGATTCTTGCTAAATTGCATTCAGCTTAAGCGGCTTAGATGTCTGGCATGCCTACTGAAGCTGCTAAACGATTGTAAATTACCCCTTACAGTTTCAGTAGCCTTGCCAGACATCAGAGTGGCTTAAGCTGAATGTAATTTAGCAAGAAACCCCTCGGAGATAGGTCGATCCTACTAGATTGATCTAGGTATGGGAATGGGATCTTAAGTACCAGCCACTTCTTAATCTGTCTAAAGCATTAGCCACTTCTTTATCTGTCTAAAGTACTAGCCACTTCTTTTATTTGTCTAAAGCACTAACCACTTCTTTATCTTTCTAAAGCACTAGCCACTTCTTTTTCTGTCTGAAGTACTAGCCACTTTTTTGTCTGTCTAAATCACTATCCACTTCTCTCTTTCTTTAACGTGCAATGTCTAAATAAAGTGGAATACTACTGATTTACTACAGTAGGCTAAAATTTGAATTACAATAATGACTTGACCTTTTTCAATGGGAGAAAATTATTAATTTTACAGATACTGTATTCTTTTCAGTCATAATTTCTTAAAATTAGACCATTCCTATTGATTGGTAGCACTGGAATTGAAACACAAGCTACCCTATATTTCAATTCTATACAGTCAAAGCACCACAGATGCTACATAGAAATACAATTTTTATGATTGTAAAATATGGATCTAAAAGACTGATAATTTTTGCAAATAGAAAGATCAAGTCAGTACCATCAGTCTTCAAGTGAAGTTTTCGGTTCTTTTTAGAAACCAATTGAAATGTCTGCTTAATATCTAGCCAATTGCTCTTACTGTGCATTTGTACAACAATGAACCCACAACAAATATATTATACAACTTAAGTTCAAAGATATTCACAATATTCCCAAACACTCCTAATAAATATGAACTATATCGTATTCATATCCTTTAAGTTTACTCCATAACTTACATTCAGAAAACAGGTTTTAAACATATATATAGGTACTCTGTACATTTTGCCTATCAATGTCTTTAATATAAGGAGGGAGGGGGGGGGGGGGTGCGGCCAGTACAAGTTTGCCTAGTCTGTGCACCAAATTTCACAACAGGAGAAAAGATAAAAAAGACACACAAGACTGGAGATCACTCACATGAGAAATGCTCTCATTCAGAAGAAACCACATAAAAATGCTGAAACAGGTACTCTAATTGATTCAGCTTTTCAGTAGTCATGAAACAAGGTTGTTCTACTTCATATATATGTATATATTAATTACAATAAATAATTCAAAATCATGAAAAGAGCATCACTTTTGAGTCCAGAATTTACAGCAAAAAACACCTGCATTTGTCTATTAATAACCAACCATCTTATCAAGAAAGAAAATCTACACAGTAGTTGACTGTCCCCACCCTGAGGATAGAGCTATTTATAAATACAACTCTGTCTGGACTTCAAATTTAACAATATACAATCTATGGCTAGAAGAGGTAAATCCAGTGAAAACTATCTGCATACAAGTTTAGACAAAACTATTTAGTCAGTGGATCTGAGCCCAAAAAATGATGAAATTTCATAGGAAAAAAAATGAATGCCACAAATGAGCTATGTTACCCAGGGTATCAGCTGTCTAACTAAGACTTATGTTTCTTTTTATGGACAGTTACAACACAGCACCATTTTTCCTCTTTAAATCTACATAAATCAATTTAGAAACTATTGCAGAAACAAAATTATCTTTTAAATTTGCAATTTTTCACAAATACTAAACATTAAATATACTTCATTACTTTTTCACAATTGCTTGCTGACATATCAATGTCTCAAATAAAATGATTGATAAAATTACACTGATAAAAAATATAACTGATGCATTTTTTACTCTAAGAGTATTTCTGTCGAAATAATCAACTTAACTAAAGTAAATGATACTGAAATGAGTCCAAGACTGATATAATTAGCAATGGGTACTCCTGCTGCTTTGGCTGCTGTGCTTAAACTTGCTGAAAATTGACGGTTTCCCTTTCTTTTTCTTCTCCTTCTTTTTATGTTTAGGGGGGTCAGACGTAGGTTCGGATTCATCAGAGTCTATCTGTCCTATATCGTTTAAACTGAGAACCCCCCGTGCCCCTGCTTCTGCAGTAGGTACTTCTCCTGAGGTTGCTGGTGCTGGTGGAGCGCAAGATGAAGCGGAGGATGTGGTTGGATAGATAGGTGGAAAAACATCTGAAGAAGTTGGAGGACTCGAGCTCTGGGTCCATGAGAATTCTGAACTTGATGATGATGACATGCTAAGAAATAAGTTATCTAATTCCGAGGTCTTATCCTGAGAACTGAGCTGCGCCCCTGGTGCTTTTAACGACATCGCCAGACGGTTCCAGAACCACTCTTGGAGGTCCTGTTTTGTGTAGTCGCAAATAGCGATATGGCGAAGAATGGAGGGAATGTCGCAGCACTTGTACATTATAGGGACCAGTTTCTTACCTCTTGAACCTAAAGAGCAAGGTACAGACACATATTAACCAAAAAGAAATTTAATATTTTTGACTGTTATAAATGAGTTACAAGTACTTCTGATGTATTTTTAGATTAAATAGAAAAAAATTAATCAGCTGTCTTGAATTTACAACTCAGCACTGGTACAGTCAAAACCTGTGAACAAGTGTCCATATTTCAACATCAGCTTGCACTGTTTTGTTTGTAAAAGAAAACTGTTTTTACCTGGTGACAGTGACTGGGCAAACTTGATCTGGAAGTCGCACTGAGCAGAGTTGAGGAATTTAGGAGATAAAATGATCACCATTCTGGTACACCTGAAGAAGAAACAATTAATAAGTTGGAAAATCTAAGGAAAATCTAAGCTCATTAGATCCAGTTAAATAAATGTTAAGGCTAATGTGAGCTTTGGGATATTTTTCCCATTATTATATATGAATGGTATATTAATAAAAATTATCAAATAATTATTTTTATGGAGTGAATGCCCCTTATATCATATTAACATATAAAGTATATAGCTAAAGCTAGCGACCAAAATCTCAAAACAATCGAAAGTCTCACACACAATTTTATATCACATACGGTTTAATTTGGAATATGTATCATTTCATATGAACCTATTTTTCCCTCCTTTTTAAAATAACAAATAACAGTTCCGTCGAAAAAATAATATTTCTGAATTGCTTTAATACCTTAATTCAACAATCCAAAGCTAATTTATCACAGGATGCAAAGGTGTCTACTGAGTACTAATATACGTGCAAGCACATGTACGTGTGCGTGCAAGCATGTGCGTCTTACCTTTCCTCTATTAATTTAGCACAAACTGTATTCGTTGAAGCGCCAGGGATGAGGTCTCTGGCTTGTACACATAACTTGAGGCCGTATTCTGGCTTCTCTAATTCGCTGATCAGCTTTTTCACAAAACCAATGTCTTCTTCGGCATAGGACACGAAGGCGTCATAATACATTGCCTTGCCCGTCTGAACTGAAGGTTGAAGACAAAATATATATTGAAGTATTTATATTTGTGTGAAATGATTAATTAAATGCATGTATGACTAACCTGCAAATCAAAGTTTGTGATGAAGTTGAACTGTTCGTAAGGTTGTCTGATAATAGTCTATAGATGTAAGAGTGTGAGTGCGTGCATGCATGTGCATGCCGCGCAATACTTTATAGATTGCAATTTTCTAAACAGTTTTGGATATGATACACCTTCTAGTTGGTGGTTTAAAGATTATTTATTAATTAGTATTTTTTTTTTTTTTTTTGCTATTTAATGGTATAATGTACATTGTTATATGTTATGCCTTTTAGATCCCAAAGATACCGTTGATCTACTTGGATTGACCCAACTCTGTGGGGACTATCTCTAACTACAATCAGCTTAACTGAATTACATCTCCTCCTGGTGTTAAGTAGAATACAGAAAAGCTATTGATTATAAGAGTACTTTGGAAACAAAAGGAGGTGTGTTATTCATTTAAGCACTTAGGGCGCATTCCCATAGATTTTAGATCGATCTATCCCCGTTAGGAGTCTCACTAGATTACTGTCAGACAATCTAGCTTAAATGTCCGTCCCGCCTACTACAAGTTGTAAGGGGGTAATTAACTTTCGTGCCCGCTCAGCTGACAGCTATTTAGCGTGAACCCCCAGGGAGTTAGGTCGATCTAGTTGGATCGATCTAATCTCTGGGAATGGGGTCTTAGAGAGAGTCCCTACAGAGTTGGGTAGTTCCACGCAGACCAATGATGGCCATGGGAATGGGTTTTTAATAAGCTAGTGCTGCACTGGATACAGTTTGACATACAAATTATAGATCCGAAGATGGCGTTTTCTTTTAGACCAAAATTTTGGTCTACTGCAATTCAGGAAAAAAAATCTGCAGCAGTTGACTACAACAGAATTGACTAATGGCCAAAAACGTTAGCCACTTCTTTCTTCTTATATGCAGACATAACATTTTGTTAAAATGGGTACTAGTGCTATTCCAATTTCTTTACCTTACGAAATGAATTGTTCAAAATTTTGTTGATGTACACTTATTTTCAAGTCTACTGAACAAATATGGATTTTAGACTCAAAATAAATATTATTATTATTATAATTATTATTTAGAAAATATTGTAGAAAGTTTTCCTACCATCTTGCGTGGTCATGTACTTGTACTGGTCTTCTTTCATATCATCATATTCCATGGCACTGCTTACTGGAAAAATATAATATAATATAATATAATATAATATAATATAATATAATATAATACGACACTGTATATATATATATATATATATATACCAATGGTCCTTTGTTGCAAATGCATTATGTCTGCAGTCTCTTTTATTAGTTTGCTCTTTTGTCTAGACTTCTGATGCAAAATAAGCACAGAAAAGTCAAGTAAAAGACTTTTGGAGGACATTCTAGATTAAGTTTACTAGTAGTTCTAGCTTTTAAACAGTCAGCACCGTGATAGCCAGGCCAACATAAAAGGAATAATGCATCTTCTGAAATTTTCTATTACATATTACTACTGGATGTAGCTGTAATAATCTAATCACTTTATTCTGTTAAAGAAGTATTAATATACTGGTGTTAATATTACTTTGGTTAAATTTTCATGGTTACCTTCACAATCTTGTAACGGTTTCTCTATCTCCATCTCCTTGCTCTGTCTCTGAAGGTAACTTTTCACATTATTTTCTGAAATTGGGAATTTAACATTTATTTTGTTGTTGCATACATTTTGAAAAAGGGAAAATAATTATATTTCACTTTAAATGGTGTTGGGAAAATGAGCAATGTAAACAGAACTTTTAAAAAGGAAACCTATTTCCCTACTTAAATCTATTTTCCTGAAATTGTAGAGCTCTTAATTAGTATTTCCTCTTCTCAGCACTCAATAAACCTCTTGCTACATGTTTTAAAGGTACATACGAACCGAGCATCGGTGGAGCGGGGATTCCCAGTAACACATGTAAACCACTTCTATTAGATTCTTATACGACTCAAATAAATTCGACATGCCAAGGGATAAACTGAATAGATCACTCGATCAGCCATAAAAGACCTTTAGACTGCTCCTTTCTTTAAATTTTTGGTTGTAAACTTAACCTACTTTCGTGACCTACTTTCCTTCCCCATTGATATACAGCTTAGAATGCCAGCAGAAAAATACGTTCAAACATCATTTTTGGGTAAAATTAAACAATGCCTTTTGGTAATTCTCTCAGTTATACTACTTGAAACTATATGCTGGCATTTGGTTGGTTTTTATGACAAAAAATTGACTTTGTATGCATCTTTAATCATCATTCTGAAGTAGTTTCCACAAAATACACTTTTATTAATAATAACAAGAGCACTCATCCAGAGACCTTCATCAAGACAATTATTAACTGAAAAAAAAAAATCATCATTAATTAATTATGTAAATTAAATAAAAGACTCTATTCCCACAGATTTTAGATCGAACTAACCCCGTGGGGAGTCTCACTAGATTACTGTCAGCTTAGCTGGCTTAAATGTCTGTCCCGCCTACTAAAAGCTGTAAGGGGGTAATTAACTTTTGTGTGGGCTTGGCTGACAGCAATTTAGGGTGAATCGCCAGGGAAGTAGGTCGATCCAGATGGATCGATCTAAATCTGTGGGAACCCAGTCATGATTAACCATTAAGTAATACATGGATCACCACCAACATGTTATCATCTTTACCTTGGTCCATTTGTGACTTATCATGGTAATTTCCTTTAACAAATTAACTAAAAATTAACTATAAATTAATTAATCAATGATAGTTAAATTGTTTTTTGTTTTGATGATAGATCCACACATATTTGATTTATTTGTTGAGCCTTAATTCTACCTATGGGATCCAATGGAATACTGGGGAAAACACTTCATTTTTACAGGAAAAACATGAAAGTATGGTGCTCAATATGTTATTAAGTAAAATTTTAGACCTTTTCATATCAAGCGTTGAGTTACATCAGGAGTTTTGATTGACAGCTAAATAGCCCTGTTATTCCAAAATGAAACCCCCTCCCTCTGGCCCCGAACTTAGCACTGTTTATTTATTTTGATTGGTACAGGAATAAATAGCAAATTTGAAAAAGGGACTAAAGTCTTTGTAGCTTATTTACAAAGTGAAACCTCTCAAAACATAAGATTACCAATGCAAACATTTAACACTCAATGTGAAAAATTTTTACAAATTTAATCCCAACTACAGTTCAAAATACAATGTCACTATTCAAATGTTTTGTTAATAAATAAACAATGACAGTGACCTGCGAGATTGCTCAATGGGAGAATAAATAAAAGGTTGCCAGTTCTCAGAATCACAACTCTAAATCGGAAACCAAAACAGGAACTAAACGGACATATCAACACCTACACAAATTGCTTATATAAATAGCAGGAATAACTTCTGACATGTGTACTTGTAAGAAGGTGGTTTTGATGCAAAATTTTTATTTAGGCATGCATGAATTGAGGGGAGTCTTTGAGGCTAGTTTGCTGTCAATATTCGGTTTTATAGCACAACAGAATAATTCATCATAAAAGAATTTCATCAGCTGTGTTATGTTGTAAGACTATTTTTTTTCTTCAGTCATAAGCTTAATATTGAAATAATTTACCTCCAATATTCCAATGTCTGACAGAGCATCTTAATCAAGGAATGTTGGGCTATTCACATTATTTCAATATTAAGCTGCTGATTGAAGAAAAAATTAGTCTTACAACAGAATTTTTGTACTAATTAACCCCAGCTGTTTGTGAGCTTTACAGTGGGTGGATCATGTGTGTTAATGTTTATGTCCTTGTGCTGGGTAGATTTTACGTCTGCTTTTTTTTTTTAGATAACAGAGCTTCCTGAATATGCTCATATTGCAGGGTGTAAAGCTATAACGGACCTTCTGAAAAAAAGGGGAAAATAATTTAAAAACAGGAAAAATATTGGAATTTTATTGCAAAAGTATAGAAAAATTGTAATTATTCGGAAGAAAGTTGGCCTCCCATCATCCCTAAAGCCATACTGGTCTAGTACACATCCTAACCTGTAGTAAATAAAATAATTTAGTGTAACAACAATCATTCACCTAAGAAACTTTCAAACAACAACAATCAATACATGCTAGTAGTTAACTCCGTATATCATCAATACAGTACCTGTAACACATCTTTTATAGCATATAACATACATTGTACTTATGTAGCCAAAACAATGTAAACTGTCATCAACACCATATCATAACGGGGTCATGCCGATACTCCCCCGCACTGATAATCCCCCTTAAAAATTTTTTGTATTATGCACATCGATATGAACGGAACCCACATTGATAGATCCCCGCACCGGTACATCCCCGCACCGATACTCCCCCCCCCCAACCGATACTTCCCCTCAGTATCGATGCGGGGAAGCAATGATGTGGGGGACTATCGGTGCGGGGAAGTAAAGGGATGTAACCATCATGACATATTTGGGCTTTTAAGTCAGATTTTTCACTAGACAATATTTTTGTCCCTACTGCTGATTTTTATGCTGGGATCACTTTTTCAGGCTTCATAAACAACAACTGCCATTAGCAATACAAAGCTGTATGGGTTTGCGATAGAAAATTCTGAATTAACAACCTAAACCACAGTCTAATTATGCAAGCATGAAAAAACTTGTTGTGAGCATGAATAAGGAAAACAAAATCATGAAAGTATGGTGCACAATATGTTGTTAAGTAAAATTTTAGACCTTTTTATATCAAGCATTGAGTTACATCAGGAGTTTTGTTTGACAGCTAAATAGCCCTGCTATTCCAAAATGACACCCCCTCCCTTCCGCCCCTGAACATGGCATTGTTCATTTAGGCTTCGTTCACATGGAAAGTCTATTTTCTAAAAATCTATTTTCTATTCGCGGTATATCTTGTGATCACAGTCTGTGCCCTGCATATCCCGTGGCGTAATTACTAATTCCACGAGAATTAATTACAGCTTTGTATAAGTAACTGGCTCGCGTTGCCAGTAATTACGCCGCGGGATATTCAGGGCACAGACCATGATCATAAGATACCGCGAATAGAAAATAGATTTTTAGAAAATAGACTTTCCATGTGAATGAAGCCTTATTTTGATTGGTACAGGAATAAATAGCATATATATGAAAAGAGACTTAAGTCTTTGTAGCTTATTCACAAGGTGAAATCTCTCAAAAAACGACAGCACTTGACAAACTTGATAAATTTCAACAACCAAGAGACCAATAGCTCTTACAGTTCCTGAATTACACAGACTTTTTAGTTTCGGCATCTAATGGCTGCTTCACCCATGAAAATGCACCAATTGACCCTAAACTCAGAATGATGAAAGAAAACCCAAGTGTAACTTCTCATCATAATATCAAAAACAAATCAGCACAAGCAAATCAAATCGAATGCCATGCTCAAAATCTTCAAATATGACTTTTGGTCAGACTCCTACAGTAACTTTTTCCATAATTCCGTCAGTTGAGAGGTATTTAGCATTTCACTTAAAAATATGCTGAAAAAGATGAAAACACAGGATAACTTTTATAAAAATTGGACTGATCAGGCCATTTTTTGAACTTGACCTGTATTTTAATACTACTGATCACTCCTGTAACTTTTAAGACAATAGGCCTATCAGTTTTCCATAAAATGTATTATATATATATATATATATATATATATATATATATATATATATATATATATGCTACAAAAAGAGAGAGAAAAAAAAAACAGAATAATTTTCACTACATGACTGTACTAGTATATAAAAATGGAATATCTAAAAAAAAAAATAAACGAAACCTGACATCCCGTTATGGAAATAATTTATGAAATTCTTAGTGTGGGTCTCCACCTGATTAATCTACTAATATAATGGCCTCTCCCACTAAGCCATGGCAAATGCCATCCAGAAGTGTCACACTGCCAATTATTGGCAAACTGTTAGGCAATTTCAAGTCATTTGAATCAAGCTTTTACATAATCACACATGTCTGCACTGTAGTTTAATAGGACATGCACTAGTAGGTCAAAAGCTAGTCAATATCTTGGCCAATTCTCCCAAACCTTCATAAACAGTTCAATATCGACTGAGGTTTCCACATTTTATTTGGTGTTTTATTATATGATTTTTTTAAATTAAAATTTATTCACCAATTGTACAGATTAAAATAAAGCATATATGATAAACATCATAACATGACATGGAACATCATTTCTGGGACAAAACAAAAGGGAAAAAAATAGGAATATATCATAAAAGTAGGGAAAAAAGAGACTCGACATCCTGATATTTTATAATAACTGTAGGGATTTTTTCACTTGCGGCTTTTTCCTCTTGAACTATAAGATTCATCAGAAAGATGATCCAGCATCATTCCTTGATACATGTACTAGTACAAAGGCCTCATTCAGAACAGTGAACTAACTACGGTAAAGTCTTGAAAATTTCGTCGTTCTTGAAAATTTCATCGGCAGACGATTTTCCGCCGAGGTAATTTTTTTCCCCTTGAAAACTTCGTCGACCTTGAAAATGAGGTACTCAATAATTTTTGAAAAGTTCGTCACCAAATATGGCCGCGTTGTCCAGCTCAAACATGAAGGTAATGCGTCAGTTGATTCAAGACAATGATACGATCAGGATATCATTGCCGATAACACTCTCAATGGGAG